AGAATCCAGGTTTTTGACTCCTGTTCCAGTTTTCCATGTGATACTGCCTTTGTGGTTTTTGTTTAAATTACACTTCAGCCTTGGAAAGTCAAGATGGGCAGAAATGATATTCCTTTTTATTGAGCTGGAAAATGGAATAACACACTTATACACAAAAATTGGCACTAGGAGTTAGGTCTTCTCGTCTGCCAGGATCTGTGTTTTAGATTAAAACCAACCTGGAGATGGGACACCAAGTTGCTGCAGGATGGTGTAGGTGGGGGAATAGCAACCAGAAAAACCAGAAGCTGCCTCAGAAACTAGAGCACCTCCCAGTTTTCAAACAGAAAAGGACAAGTTCCTGTGGCTGTGTTAAAGGTGAAGGGGCTGCAGGGATGGAAAGGAATAGGGAGTTTAGTGAGTCCACTAAAGAATTTCTGTTGGCGATGATGAAAACATTCTGGAAATGGATAGTGGTGATGGTGGTACAACATTGTGAAGGGACTTAATGCCATTGAATCGCACATTCAAAAATGGTTAAAATGGTAAATTTTTATGTATATTTCACTACAAAAAATAAAAATAAAAAATAAATGAAGAGGTTAACTAAATGTTTCCAAGGTTCTGTTGCTTCTAAAAGTGTGATTCTTACTCCAATGGGAAATTTCCTCCAAAATCAGCTTCACCTTCCCAAGTGCTTTCTCTCTCTCATCTTTCAGAGCCCTGTCCCAGAAGATCCCAACACTGTTTTTAACCCCTAAGCTAAATATCTGGTGGCTGGTATATGACTGAGGATAACGTTTGCACTTAGTCTGTGTTGTGGATGAGGTCAGTGGCACGTTGAATGGCTGGGGCAGAGGCAGAGTCTTTTTGGAATGATGACAACCTCTTACTCTGATGAACTGACTTTCTCTGCTACAAGAGGTATTGAGTTTTGTTTTGTTTTAGTTAAAACGCATGTAATTACTTGAGCTTGGTGTAAAACCTGGGCTGAGAATCCTTATCCTTGAAGGCCCTAGTCAGGGAGGCTAGTTCAGGACTTTCAATCCCATCCTGTGATGTAGGCAGGTGGCAATGCTGGGGCTAGGGGGCAGGTGCAAAAACACAAGCGAGCATTGACACAGTTCTCAGACAACTTTTCAGAGGTGGAAACCTGCCTTGACTGGGTCCTAAGAAAAATCTAGTATAGGCCAGATGCTGACCCTGAACATGCGAGCCTGGCTCCAGCCTGGGGTGTCAGTGCAGACACCGGGGTAGAGACAGGACTGAAAAAGGTGATGGTTGGGCATGTGGTTCTCAGCCCTGCAAAAGGCACTCGGCAGTATAACCTTACTGGAAAAAAATGAGTTACTATTAACCTGTTCCTAAGGCATCCTTGTGTTTGGTTTTCAGCTTGGTTTGACTCTTCTTCCATGTAGAAACATCTCTTTCATGTGTGATGCCCCCCTTTCACCTCCACCCCAAAGTTTAATCAGTGCAAGGTAAATAAGTAAGCTGAACTATGGATGACACTCGTCATCTTTAGAACAGTTCTCCATGAGGTATGGTCACAGATCAGCAGGAGACTTGGCTGCAGAAGACTTGGCCACGAGGGGATGGCACAGACCTAGAGCCAATCTTGCAGTGGCGCTGTGTGGCGTGTACTTCTGGGAGTGGGGGGTTGTACTTGAAAACATTCACAAGTAGGGGAAGGAAAAGGATGTAAACATTAGAGCAGAATTACCTCCCTTTACCTAATTGGGTGTTCTTGGAAAGCTTTGTAAATCTGATTCCTAGGATTCAAGGTGCTTCATTTTCCTCTTAATTAGCTTTCAAGGATGTGCCTGTATATCTCCCCAAAACACCATGGTGGGACAAATGCCAGCCTGAAGGTAGCAAGCAGCCAGTGTTTAAGTAAAGACCCCAGGAAACTGCCCTTAAAGGAACCATTCGGTCCACTAATTGAGAAAAATGTTTTGGTGACGTCATTCCCATGCAGGCAGGAGATGAGAGCCTATGTACTGCTAGGTCTAGGATCAACAGGCTGACCTCAGGTTAAAGGGAATCAGTCAGCAGGCTGGGATTTACCATCTGGAGATCTAGCATGGAGTGAACACACAGGGTGCATGCTCCCATTATGTCAGCTGGGGTTCCAGGAACAGAGGCACCCTCAGTACAGGGTTCAGCTCACTAAGAGTAACAGACACACTCCCAGAGAGACAACGCCCATTACAGCATCAAGCTCAGAAGACAAGGGTGAGGTTGGGGGCCAGGTTGGGTCTGGGAATGATGCCCCAAATGGCCACTTTAATAGTGAGAGGCCGTCAAGAGGTGGCCTGCCCACCTATATTTCAATTTGGATCTTTAAGGTAGCCTCTTTCTTCAGTATGTACTCCTCATCATTTTCTTCTGCAGTGTACATTGCAATCAGGTTCTACTTACATATGCCTTGATAAAATTCTCAACTCATGTTGAACAGGTTGACTTTCTATATCTTATTTCTGAAAATACCAAACTAGCAGTGCCAAGATGCCTGCCTTCCCTCTGGACTTGCTCATGTGCTCAAAGTTAATTTGAAGCTGGCAACACATTCAGAGAATGACTGAAGTTTAGGCCAGGTGCATTGGCTCACGCCTGTAATCCCAGCACTTTGGGAGGCCAAGGCAGGCGGATCACTTGAGGTCAGGAGTTCAATACAAGCCTGGGCAACGTGGTGAAGCCCTGTCTCTACCAAAAATACAAAAATTAGCCAGGCGTGGTGGCGTGCACTTGTGGTCCCAGGTACTCAGGGGGCTGAGGTGGGAAGATCCCTTGAGCCAGGGAAGTGGAGGTTGCAGTGAGCCAAGGTCATACCACTGCACTCCAGCCTGGGTGACAGAGACTCCACATCAAAAAAAAAAAAAAAAAAAAAAAAAAAAAAAGAATCACTGAAATTTAGAAGGATGTATATGGAATATATAAAGGCTACATACACACATACTGGGGATATTGCAGCTTCCAACAACATGCCTCCTTGAGGTTCCAGTCACTTGAAAGTTTGTGCCTAAAGGAAACTTTGTGCCTCAACTACTGTATTTGAAAACTTTTCAGACATACATCAACACAATTTTTGGTTTTCCTCTGTTCAGCATGAATATTCTAATGTCTTTGCTCATGCACTCCATAGCATCTCCTGAGGACCCATCTCACTCAGCCCATGCAAAGGACTAAAAGCCTTAGATGAATAAGAACCTTTAAAATGTGTTCAATTAGCAAAGCAGAGTTAAGATGTGTATATGCACACACATGCTTTTTATCTAAGTGCAGAATGGGGCATTCGATGACCTCAGTTAATTTTCTTAATGTGTGCTGCTCCCCTGGTCCCACATCCCTCTATGCCCATTTCTTCCTACAGAGTGGAAACACCACTCTTTTCTCCCAGTCCACAAGAACTGGACAAGGTCCTAAATTCTTTCCTGGAACACAGATACCTGGCTTTTCCCCTGCCTCTGTCTGGCCTTCCTCCACTTGCAACTGACATCTACAATACATGCTGGCAACACTTAGGTCTGGGGATACAGGTGCCATCTAGTATCTACAAGCTGACAGGTGTGAACTCCAGGAGAGCTGGTGCCTATCCTATGAAATGCAAGGAAAACAGAGCCTGAAATTTCCCCTGGCTTCCTTGTTCTCTAAGATACATTTAGGCTACAAATGCCATCTCCACTTTCTCCCACAGCGGGGTATGTATTGAGCCACACCTACCAGATTTAGCTCTGTGGCAATACCCACATCCATAGGGGACTACTCTATCCTGGCAGAACTCCCACTGTCAGCCGCTTGCCTCGGGCCTGATTCAACTCAGTTGACTCCTTCTGCAGCTGACTTACTGGCTCTTAGGCCTCATGGTCTCTCTTGGGTTTTGTGGTGGCTGAAACAACATGGTGCTGGACTTCTTTGGGATTAGGTTAAATTAGAATAAGAATAAAAGTCTATCTAATTAAGTGAAATGTTTGGGACTATACAAATTTTTTTTTTAAATGTTGTCTATTTTGTACTTAGAAATCTCTAAACTTATATCCATTACTGGAGATGGAGGCACAGATTTGGAGAAAAACATTACAATTTACTCTGAATGATAAAATGGCAAGGAAAGTCAGCTCCATGTTTGCCCTCATTGTCCAGGGTTTGTAAATTTGTCATGGTTGCCACTCAGTGGCAAGCCACATAAGAGCCATGTTTCTATAACCCAACAGACTGGGAGTTGCAAGTGGAATGGATGTTCTTGTTGATACAGGCGTTGGTTCCACTCCCACATCCCTGTAAACCTGGAGTGCGAGAAACGTCCCCTGGGCAGGGTTTCCATCTCACCATCTCTGGAGAGGCCTCTGCCGTGGCTCCAGGAGACAGGTCCTCCCCAGGGCTTTTCCTTCACACGGTGGGCAGAGCCACTGCTCACGGGCCCAGCACTGGGCTGAAGTGTGCTCTGAAGTTGCTACAATTATACCTCATTTGCTATCAGTCAGCTCTACATAGCAACCAGGTGCCATACTTCACCCATTATTTTTCTGGAACATTGAGTGGGGAATAGAACCCAGTAGAAGAACAAGATGGAGAGGATAAAGGGCTAAAGAAAAAGAAGAAGCGGAGAAGGGGGAAACAAAAGAGGGAGAAACTAAACCCAAAATGAGTCCTTGTCATTTAGCGGGGACTCATCCACTCTTTATAGTGCTGTTTTCCATGAAAAAATGTGTTCTAAGTTTCAAATAATGAAATTGGATATTTTCTACATAAAGTCAAACCTGCCAAAGGAGAAAATACTTAGCAAGCGTCAAGAGAACAAGTTTTTGTTTTTTTAAAAAAATCTAGGTAGCGTTTTCTACCCACACTGAACTGAATTATGTTTTTGTTTGTTTCTTTTTTAGCTGGGATGGGATACCCAGAGATGCCCCAACATCACAATTTATCTCTGAATGGCTGATCATTTTAGCAAGGTCACTGTCACAGAACACATCAAAAAAGGCAATCATTGTAGGAAATAGGACAACAATAGCTGCTTCTACCTCCATGCTAGTATTAGGGTCAAGATCATCACACTCTGATTCCTCGGAACTGTTCGTCTCCTTGATTGGCAGCATGAGGAAGGGGGAAGAAAGAGAACACAGTTAGAACACAAGTAGCTTTTGCCAGAGAGAGAGGAGAACTTCAGAGAAGCATGGGCGATGGGATCTCGGGCAGAGAAAAAACCAGGTATTTTTAAGGTGGGGAGTGAGAATCACCAGGGGCAGCAGCATGCTCTTTTCAGGGAGAGGAGGCTGGGGTTGTGTACAACTGCTTATCTCATGGGAAACAGCAATGGAAACAAAATGAAGCATGAGTGTTGTCGAATTTAAACTGTTGTCTTCTGTGAGGCTGGTCTTCCCAGATGAGAGTGAAGGAGAGCATACGATTTCTTTTCCCCAAGAAGGAAGTTAGACTGGGTTTTAGTTGTTCTTACTTTGCTAAGGAAGGGAAACAAAGTTCCAGGCAGATGTTCACACATTAAGGCACAATTAGTGCTATAATAATCAGTGTCTAGTTTCCATTGTCCAGAGGCAGATCTTTCCAGAGGGTTCAATTTAAAGAAAGCAGATGAAATTGTTTCAAGACAGGGCTAAATAAGAGTCTGCCAGGCTTAGAATTCATGAGTTCAAAGCAGTAGATGGATTATTATAAAGAAATAATTTGAACTTCACCAATGTGCCCCCCTACTGTGTCCATGCATAAGGAAAGGCAAGTAAAATGGCCTGAAGTTGATGTTGTCTGAACTCTGGGGAAAAGAAATGAAACTTTACTAAGGACACAATGGCCCTTAAATTCCAAACCTCAGCCTTCACAGGGCTGGGGGTTTGGAAGGCATCCCTAATTGCTTAAACCTGTGTGTATTCTCAAACCTAGGGTACCAAATGGCAGCTTTGAGAAATTTAATATGAATCAAGCATCTCGCATTTTTAAGAGAATAGTGCTGCCGATAATTTTGCTGTAAAACATCTGCACAGTATAAAGAGAAAGGTATAAAAGAAAAAAAAAGGTACTTACTTGAATTGAAGTTGCCAGGAGAAATAAAAGATAAAAAATAAATTGATCTTGCATGCAAAATCCTGCTAAACTACTTCCCCTCTGGTCCCCATATTGGAAAAAAAAAATAACCCATCCACCCAATTGGCTTGTGAGAATGCTGCAGGGTGGGAGTGGATGACAGGTGGGGACGCAGCTCCGGAATACCTTACTCACTTTAACAGAGACTTTGTTGCCCAGAATATCCTTGGGTTTACGAGACCCTGTGGCTTCATTTTTACCCGTGTTCTCCACTTCCGCCCGCTTTCTCATGCGTAGAGTATGCCATGAACATGACTTCCTGTTGTACCAAAAAATGCACCAATCAAAATGGCAGGTCAGGGACAGTGAGGTGGTGGGCGGGCTCACCACCCTTGGGTGAGTCAGCAGGTGAGGTGCTCCATCAAGCCCGGGCTTCAGAGGCCCCAAACCTGCACACCAGCTCCAATGGTGGCTGGCAGCTGACCTCACCTCCAACTGGAAGTGAGCGAGGATGAACTCTGACCTCCCCTGGTAGATGTGCAAGGTTGACTGCAGCATTTGAAGAAAATATGAATCCTAGGTGACTAAACTCTAACAAGGGAGTTTGTATACCATACCCGTGATGCCTCACAGGACCGAGGAATTCCTCTTGTGAAGGGCATGGTGGATAGGTGAGAAAGGGGGTGAGGAGTAGAATAGGAAAGACAAGGGAAGTATATTCTAGAATGTATATGCTACTGACACTTTCCCAGGACCAGACAGAAAGACCCAAAAGGATGATGTTGAGAGTTCTACCTCACGATTTGTATTTGGGCAGGGCCACTCCCAAATAATGTTGATCAGACAGGATTTTCTGGGGCAGGCATTTGCTTAATAAACAGTGGAGCATCGCTCATTTATCTGGATATTTTAGGGCAAAGAGTTTCTCGGTCTCTATTCTCCATATCACTCAGTGTTTGTGAATACATGGCTTTGTCGGCTTTGTCAGCCTCTAGAGGTCCTAGAGCTTCCCTGTTAGGATAAGACCTAATGTGTACCCCCAGGGAGGTGAGAGCAGCAATGGCTTTTCAATAGGCCTTTCATCCTAACTTCTTTCTTCCCACAAAGGGTCCTGGGAGCAACTTCTTCACAGACCTCTGAAGACAAGCTCAGAGTAGAGCCCTTACATTCTATAAATATCAGATCTCAAAGACAGAGATACCAAAAGCCAAGTCACAAACAGTGTCAGTGACCCTGAGCAGGCATCATCAGTTTCAGGTGAGGTCACAGAGCTTGAAAGAAGTTCTAATTGTTGTCTGGAATAAGTGAGACGTGGCTTCCCTTCAGTATCTCCTTGTCAAAGGTGGGCCTATGCAGACAGGGCTCCATGAGATGAGCCTCCATTATGGGAGAGAGGCAGAGGAGATTTAGGAAGAAGGAAGCTGCTGCAAAATACAGAGCATCTCCTCCAAAATGCTCCACATACATCAGGATTTTAAGGATACGTTGAGGAAGGTGCTCCAAAAATATTTATCCCCTAACACACAGGTTCGACCTTCTGAGCAGGAAAAAGCAATTGCAGTAATATCCTTGAATCTTGTGGGAAAGTGGGCTCCTTCAAAAACCCAGACCTTCTCCTGTATCTCCTAACTAGTCAGGCTCTCTACTGTCCCCTGCATACCAGCACCTTGCTCCAACTGTTGAATCTGAGTAAGAACCAGCCAAGCAATCTTAGATGGCATCAGCCTGTTAACTTCAGACTTTGATAACTTTACTCCAAAATCCATGTCCCTGGCTCCTTCTGAGAACAACTTGAGTCAGGGAGATCCCTGCTGAAAGGACTCCCAGGGCAGGCAGCACATTGTGTATGTGCGTGTCCATGTAGGCGCGTGTTTCTACATTTATTAAACTCTGGGTTATTTAAAATGCTTGGTGAAAAACTAGAAATATGAGCAATAACATTTCATGTTTGGAAGGAAGACTCAGAGTAGTATAAATGGCAGGACAGGCTTGGTTTCATATTCTTCTTCCCAGAAGAACTCGTCATCATGGTTTGGGGAGCTTCCATCTCTTGGTTGCAAGCCCGGGGACTGATGTGGACACAGGGTTTCAGTGACGTTTGTCCTGTAGGCATCACAATGAATTCTGACCCCTGTGGTTATGGCAGGCCTTGGGGAGGGTGTGCTGAGTGTCCTCCACTGGTAAATACTGACAACCTCTTTCAGTCCACTGCTCCCCTCCACACACACCCCCAACCCTTGTGCAAGAGCGACTGACAAGAAATCAAAATGACCCATATGTATTTCAATCTGCTCTCTTTTGCTCGGTCTGACATCCTTTTACCTTCCCTCCCATGGGAGGTACGGATAAGTGGCCAACAGAACCAAAGGTAGGGAGGAAGAAGTGTTTAGTACCTGGATATTTAGAGGATAAATCATTAAGAGTTAGCTCTGCAAGTCCCCTGATTAACAAAAACTTCAGTGCTTCGAGGGCCTTTATCCCAAGGCTTCCTAAAAGGCACCCAAAACAAGTGTACTTAGGATAAAATGCTTGGGGGCTACTGTGCCTGAGGGGCCACTGTGGATTTTTGGCTGGGCCTGTGGTTACCTAGTGAGGCCAGGGGGATGTCAGTAGCTGCTATCCCCTGCCCTGGAGAGAGGGCCAAAGCAGTGCAGTTCTGCTGGTGCCACTGCTCAGATAGCTCGTGGGAGCCCCCTACACCATGGTCTTCCATGGATCACTATGAAGCATGGAAAGCAGCGGGGAATGCCAGCCGAACACTGCCTTCTATTCTGGTCATTCATTGACATCAGCACTTCAGGGCTGCCCAGTTGCAGGGAACCAGTCGGACAGCATCGAATCTGTACCTTCCCTCATCTCAGAGGTTAGGGAAAATCAACAGGGGCTGTTTAGGAGGGAAGGCCAGGGTCAGAACTTTAGCAACAAAAGTACTTTTTGTGTAGGAAAAAAAAATGCCAATGCATTCACCCAAAACCTAAAATATAGAAAAGGAAAAAAACAAGAAAAGGAAAAGAAGAATTGTTTGCACATTTGAAAGTCCAAGAATAGTGAAATGGGGGGAAAAAGGGTCAACTAGTCTTTAACTTCATTAAAACATGCTCATGGTGAAAATTTATTTTACATATTTAAAATATACATTTAAACTGATTAGTTACATGACAGGTACAACGATGAGCATTGTGACGCCATCATATTGCACAACCTGACTTCATCCGTATGGGTTTCTTTAAATAGTGCAAAATACTTTATACAGGAATGTGTTCGGAAGGGTCTTTGCAACCAAAATAAGGAAAAGAAGTATCTTACAAATTACTATGAACATATATTCAAGTGACGGGGTCGAAGGGAATTTTTAAAAAGTTACAATCTGTACAGAGGAATTGCCACAGACAACCAAAAAGTTCCCTCCCTCCTGGGAGAAGCAGCGGGCCTCTGACCTTCACAGGTTTGGCATTTGTGCCAAGGTAATTTTTTGGTGTCAATCAAAAAAAATATATATATATATATCAGTTACTTAATACAATATAAATAGAAGTCCAGTCCAGTGAGTCCTGTGGTGGGTCAAATGTGGCAACAGAAAGCACACCTTTTGTCACCTAGGGTTTCAGTAGGGTTCTTAATGAGTGGGGGAGGGGGGGGAAGAGGGAAAAAATGAACAGAAAATTACAAAACAAAAGGAAAGAAAAAACACTGCCACCACCAACAAAAAAAACTGGACCACTCCAGCCTGGATGCCCCATGCTGTGTGTGGTACCAGCACTCAAACACTGGTTCCGTGGCACTGTTCAGAATAAGCAGCAGTAATTCCCTACCGTGTGTTTGCATTTTTGTGTTCTTTTGTTTGTTTCTGAATATTTTTAATCCTCATACTCCTCTCCCGGGGAAGCCAACGAGGCACTTACTTGATGCTCCCGTCACTACTTTCTGCTGCTGTGGCTTTGGCGAGGGGCGCCAGGATGCTGCCCGGGACCCAGCCCTCGGCGGCAGGGGAATGGTCGCTGGCAGGCTGGTACACCAGACACATGTTCTGCTGGTTGACGGCGAGGACCTGGACCACCTCACCTTGGCTCACACAGATTTCATTCTCCTTCAGTGCATAGTAATCTTTGATCACGGCCATGGACGAGGTCCCATTGCAGCCTCCCAGGTCATTCTGCTGGGAGATAAGGGTAAGAGGGGCACAAACACAAGGACACTAGTTCACGTGGGCTTGCTCGGCACCCTACCCAATGGTTCAAGGCCAAATCTCCCACTAGCAGGGTAGGCAGCGGGCAGCATTCGCTCTTGAGTAATGACATAATATTAATAAGGTGCTCTGAAAGTATGTTTTTTAATAGCAATGTTTCAACAATATTATCATCCAGGGTGAATAGGCTCCAGCTCATATAAAGGTACAAACACACCTTCGACCCGGAAGCCCCTTCCTAGCATACAACCTTCCTGCCAGCATTCTCTTACAAGTGAAAGGAAGAACCTGGCACTGGCATAGTGATATGTAAGCACCTGGGCAGAGTGAAGTCAGCATAAGGGTCATGTCAGGGGTCACAATTCTTCAATGGAAAGAACATGGATTGTTTGATATTAAATTTTTCTCTTTTTGAAAATGCATTGGCTTTACTCTATATTCTGACCCTCTTATCTCTGCCCAATTCAAAGGCAAGGCCATGACCTACCCTTACCCAACTTCCTGCAGGCACCAGGTACCCTCCCTTACTCATTAATACAAGAGATGCTGACCATAACCTTTTCATGTGAGTCTGTATCAGGGCAGCTGCATCTAGACAGACTTGTAACTTTCCAAGGAGGTCTGGCTGCCTCATAGAGCATGGTAAGAGTCAGAAAGTCTTCAGTACATACATATATATTCTATATATACACACATACATATTCTGTATGTATATACATACAGGATATACATACAAAGTCTTCAATATATACTTTTTTTTTGTTTGGCTGTTTTTGAGACAGGGTCTTGCTATGTCACCTAGGCTAGAGTACAGTGGCAGAGTCATAGCTCACTGTAGCCTCGACTTCCCAGGCTCAAGTGATTCTCCTGCCTTAGTCACTGGGACAACAGGTGCATGCTACCACACCTGGCTAATTTTTTTTTTAAAGTTTTATTAGAGACGAGTTTTTGCTATGTTGCCCAGGCTGGTCTTGAGCTCTCGAGTTCAAGCCATACCCCTGCCTTGGCCTCCCAAAGTGCTGGTATTACAGGCGTGAGCCAGCGCATCTGGCCCGATATGTTTGACAAAATGCCAAAGTGACTTCAACTTACTCCCAAAGGCAGGATTGTTTTTTAAGGTGGAAAATCATTTCCAGGTGATATGATGGAACAAATTGGTCTAGTTACTCTAATACAGGATTGAACTTGGACACTAATTATTTTTTAACATAACCAATATAAACTAATAATTTTGGGGAGAAATAAAACTATAAAATTGGAACATGTAGATAAAAAATGTAAGTGTTCCTATTCATAGAGCCACTGAGTTCTAGAGAAAACTGAGGCCTAATGAGGTTAACTAACTTGCTAATGTTCTAAAGCAAGTGAGTTGCAGCATTGGGAATAGAAACCAGGTTTGCCTGATTCCTAATCTAGCACTTTTCCCATTTCTCTCCTGTTCTACCTACCTTGTGGGGCGAAATAGCTGTGTAGACTAAATCTATGCTTGAGTCTTTGACTTGCCTCATGGTGACGTTTGAATTGTGGATTATCTATGACAAACATTCAATCCAAGTTAGACTTCTCCCATTCTCACATTGATGATCGACTTCCCTTCCATATCAGCCGATGGATGGTGAAGAACTGTGAATTTCTTTCAGTAGATGCTCAACGCAGATCATCATTAGAAAGGGTGATCTCTTTTTAAGATGTCAAACACTACAGCAGTGACTTTTAGATGAAGATGATCCACACCGCAACTATTCTATTTAGCAAAAATCATCCATTTTTATGATTGCTAGAGGAAACTGGTATAACTCACCCAATTTATGAGGAAAGAAAAACAAAATTGAGACTAGATTGTACTTCGTGGGCTGTTCCTGCTAAAATAATTAGCAAGCATTCAAAGATGCCACTTCCTGGCTGGGTGCAGTGGTTCACGCCTGTAATCCCAGCACTGTGGGAGGCTGAAGCGGCCATATCGCTTGAGGCCAGGAATTTGAGACCAGCCTGGCCAACATGGTGAAACCCCATCTGTACTAAAAATACAAAAATTAGCTGGGTGTGGTGGGGCACCTGTAGTCCCAGCTACTCGGGAGGCAGAGACAGGAGAATTCGCTTGAACCTGGGAGGCGGAGGTTGCAGTGAGCTGAGATCACACCACTGCACTCCAGATTGGGTGACAGACCAAGACTCTGTCTCCTCCTAAAGTAACCCCTGAGGCTGTGCCCTCATAGTGACAAGGGTGGGAGTAATGAGTGGTCACTTACCTTGCTGGCTTCAAACTTGTCCCCAGACTGGTGGTATTCAAACCCTGGACTGCCATTGGAGGTAGATATCTTCAGGGGAGGCAGAGGTGGGTTATAGCTGGAGCCCTTTGGGGGCTTCTCTGAGCCCACAGGAACAGAGGAGTAGGGCCTGGGGCTGGCTTGGGGAAGCCTGGCAGGTTGAGACCTCATCACAGCTGTGCTCCTTTCTTTCCGCTGATACTCAATGGGTGATTGCAGTGCTGTGGGATAAGAGCAGGTGGTTACTCTAAGTGTTGGGAATTCCACAAGGATTTGGAGGCCTCTTAGGCCCAAGGCCTTGTGTTAGGCATCGTGTGGATAAGTGAGAAAAACACTACCCTTGATTTTAAGGCAATGTGAGAACTAAGACATCTACCTAAATAATGAAAATACAAAAAACAAAATGGTGCCATATGTGAGGTGCCAAGGGTTGTGCAAAGAGAGAGAAGGCTCTGTAATATGTGTGGTGGTGGTGGTGACAAAGAGCTTCGGAAGAGAACTGTGGCCAGACTCTGGCACTTAGGCTGGAGGAAGGAAGCAAGTGTGACGTGCTGGTGAGGGGAACAGGAAGTAGTCAGAGTGCCTAGGGCCTTGGGTCTCCCTGGAGGAAGAGGAAACGAGAAAGGTCTGTGAGGTGGGACATGCCATGGTATGAAAAGTCTAGAAGGTGAGGCCAGTGAATCTGGACCAAATTTTGAAGGTCATGAAAAGTAACTGGATGGAATGAACTTTAAAGCTTTAAATTCAGATTCTATCATCAGAGAGCCACATTTGAGGAACAGTAACCTTGTAGTGGTTAAGAGGAGGGACTGGAGACAGAAGGCTTCTTGTCTAATTCAGAAGCCATGGAATGGTAAAAGCGAGAGGCAGAAGGTCTAGGAGAGCGGGACCGGGGGATGTGGAATAGATGTGGCTGTGGTGAGGTCGGGAGAGATGAGACTGTGACAGCCTAGGTGGGAAAGCAACGCAAGAATCGAGGATGGCTCAGGTTTGGAGACTTGGAGGATGGCAGTCAGTGGAACTCAGAAGACAGGAGAACAAGCTGATGTGAAGGGAAAGACCGGAGTTTTGTTTTATTGAGTTTAAGGTAACAAGGTTGTAAGGTCTGAGAACTACAGAGGGAGAGCCAGGCAAATGCCATACAGGTCCAATTCTTTAAGAATGACTTCAAGGGTTGACCGATTATGTCATTTTTATCAGTTTGCACTGTAACAACTATTTAAGTGGTGAACACCTGGGGCCCAGAGAACTTCTCAATTAGAAGGATGTTGCTACTGTGATAGGTACATACCTCAACAGGACTCAACACAGGGCCACACTTCCTTTCTATCTGAGGTCTCAGAAGCAAAGATGGGCTCTGAGATACCTGCACACATCTCTGTAAGTAGAAGCCTGGCCCTGCTCCATCATCACATCCTTGTCTCTTTTATGTGTCAAAGTAATAATGGGCCCACCAGAGCACTGCCTCTCTCACTGAGGAGTGTTTTGTGGGCATTAAGTATTTAGGAGATGATAACCCAGTTCAGTAACACAGTCAGCCCACTGTATCTGCGGGCTCCACAACCATGGATCCAACCAACTGCGGGTTGAAAATATATGGGAAAGGCCAGGCGCAGTGGTGAACACCTGTAATCCCAGCACTTTGGGAGGCCAAGGTGGGTGGATCACTTGAAACCTTGTCTCTACTAAAAACACAAAAATTAGCCAGGCGTGGTGGCATACGCCTGTAATCCCAGCTTCTCGGGAGGCTGAGGCACGAGAATTGCTTGAACCTAGGAGGTGGAGATTTGCAGTGAACCAAGATCTTGCCACTGCACTCCAGCCTGGGTGACGGAGTGAGAGACTGTCTAAAAAAAAAAAAAAAAAAAAGAAAAGAAAAAAAAAAAAAATATATATATATATGGGGGAAGAAGATGAAAAAAAGATGATTGTCTGTACTGAACATGTACAGAGTTTTTTTTTTCTTGTCATTCCATAAACAATATAGTATAACAATTATTTATACATCATATACATTATATTAGGTATTATAAAAAATCTAAAGATGATTTGAAGTATACAGGATGATGTACATAGGTCATATGCAAACAACTATGCCATTTTATGTAAGGGACTTGAGCATCCACAGACTCTGGTATCCTCAGGAGGTCTTGGAACCAATTCCCTGTGGATACAAAGGGCTGACTGTATCTCCATGATTCATTAAGAGAAAGGTCTCTTGGAACCAAGTAAAGATCTGAATCATTGACTATGCCTAAATAAATACAGTTCCAAGTTCTAAGCACATACCAGAGTTATAAAGTAGGCCTTATCAAACTGATTTTATGAATCAATTCCCATCATATGGAATTGTGATATTACCTGGTTATTTACAATAATTGTGCTAAAACATTTGAAAATAGTATGCCTTCTTAAATAAGCTAAATGGACAGCCTGTATTCTTTCACCAACCTCCATTTGCATAACGCAATTCTCAGAATCAAGAAAACTGCATCCCTACAGGGTTTGTTTTTGACTGATTGATACAGTGTCTCATGTCTGATCCTGCTTCTTTCTTCACTCTGGTTGCTAGGGAGATCATAATTAAATAAATGAGTGCTCTAACACTAGCACCTATACTGCAGTTCTGTGGTTCACAACCTTAATTTGAAGTCCTGTAGCTGTGGATTCAAGTCCTGTTTCTATTGCTCACTGTTTCTGTGACCTTGGACAAGTTCTGAGTCTCCTTTTCCTCACTTGAAAAAAAGTAGGACAAGAGTACTTACCTCTCCATGTTGACGTGAGGATTAAATGTGAAAAACCATGTAAAATGCTTAGCATAGTGCCTGACACAGAGCAAGGATTCAATACACAGGAGCCATTATTGTTATGTCAATAACTTCTTGTTTCAACTTACTGTTATACCTTATTTTTCTTTTGTCCCAAATTGATGAATTTTAAAATTCCTAATTTCTGCTTAGAATCTATCAGAAACTCCTAATTAATAGAATGCAATTTAAATAGATATATTTTATATATGCATACATTTTTGCATAAAATTATTTTATCAACAAAAGTGTTCATTTGAAGTCATATATTCAGAAATCATAAGCCATACACAAGTTTCATGACCATCCCTCAGGGCTGGGCTGGTGTTTAATTTTAGATATTTTAGAGTGAAAAGAATCCTAGAGATCACTTAGTCTAGTTGTTTTTCACCAATTTTTTTTACAGTTGAGGGCCAGGAGCCTGGCCCAAAAATACTTTCTGTAAGTGCAAAATTGCTTTGAAGTCTCATGTTCTATCTTAAAAAGTCGTGGCATCCTGTTACATGATCTTCTTCTATTTGTCTTTAAAACACTGTGCTAAATCCCTTATAATATAGGGAAACTGATATTGTAGGGAGGATGCCAGGCTTCCTGCTTCCAGGAAGACTGGCTCATCACGGAGCATGCCAGTATGGGCAGAGTATATCTACCTGAACTCTCTTTTTCACAAAACCAGTCACAAGGCCCAGAGAAATGTCATGATCTGCTCAAGGTCCTCAACTCGTATGTCACCTTTTATCTTTCCCTTCAGCATTCAGTTCCATTCTAGACACCTAGAACATGTTGTATCTCGATCATTTGAGAGTCCAGATCCTAGTACTGGCATGAAAATGTGACACACCCAAGGGTGGGCCTCTACGTGTGTACATGTGTGTACCTTTGTGTGCACTCATGTGAGCACATACAGCCATGTAGTGCAGATCTCAGGACAGGCAGGAAGAGGTGGTATACTCAAAGGTGGTTGTGTGTGTGTGTGTGTGTGTGTGTGTGTGTGTGTGTCTATCCAGGCATATGTGCTTGCTGAGTCTTCAGGTTTACTTCATTACTAGTTACATCTTGCATTCAACTACAAGCTCTGTTTCTGCTTGGTTAGACGTCAGAGCTAACCAAGTCAGCAGAGATCAGCCACTAGTTTAAAATCGCACACCCCTTTCCCATGCCAAGCTCAGTGTGAAGAAAACCCCAGCAGAGGAAAAAATAAAGAAATATATTCAAAGTGGCAACTCTACTTCACTCCAGTGCACACCACCCATGAGGGAGCTCCTGCAAGGGCCACAGAGAGCTACACCCTCTGTGTAACCACCAATTTTCTTCTAGGAAGTTTCAGGGTATTACAGAAATTTAAAGTTAGCAATCATCTCTCATTTAAAAGGGGTAAGGCTGGCTAGCAACATGGCTTATTTAGGCTCTCACACTGTTGGGAGCAGAGGAGGGATTTGAACTGATTGGCCAAACTCTCATTTATCTCTAGTTAACACTAGAGAAGCTATGAAAAGTGGAAAAACACATGTCATTTCTAGCCGGCCCTGGCCCCTTAGACACAGAGGATATGCCTACCTCAGACTTTTGCCCAAATTAGTACCAGGCGGTAGTGATGGCAACAAGACATATATCCTGTGTCCCATAAGCGAAATCTCTTCTATCAGAAAGATGGAGCTTCTTTTCCATACCCTATCTGTTCTTGTGTATTCAGATTCAGAAAAATTCAAAAGTGTTTCTGAAAACTACAAAGTTGGAGTTCCATAAAACGTGATCTGGGTTCATAACTCACCATGAACCCAGACCCAAGGAAGCTCAGAAGTTGTGGAGTCCCCTGACATGGCCCTGCAAGAAACCAAGCCCAGCACCCACCATTCAAAAAGTCTCGCTGTGTTTCTAAGACTTGATTGATGTCCTGCACCCAGGCCTGCTGGATGTCAGCGTTGGCGGCTTGCAGAATGACCCTCTCAGAAGTCTCTCTGTTCATGAGTGCAAACTTGCAGGGATCATTGTCCACATTCTCCTCCAGGACCAAGTAATTCATCTGGAAGAAAACAAGTTGATCCTTTTTATATTTAAGAGATTTTTTAAAAATCAGCAACATATTACTGTTCCTCAAAGTTTCTATTTCAGGACAAGCTTCCAAATTTTGCCCCGGATCTAGCAGGACAGTACTTAGGTTTTTGTCTCTGGGTGAGTGACACGGTCCCAGGGAACCTGCAGGATCATGCTGGAGACTGGCTCAGCCTGTCACTTCAGCTCACAGATAATCACTGTCGTTCAACCTCCATGACCGAAGGTTATTAGCCGAAAGAGCTTCATGGTTCTGGATGTCACAACTCCAGTGCCTTGTCTTAGGGAAGCAGCTCCCAAGAACTGGGCTCTTCCTTGCCCCTTCATATCACCATTGGGATCCTCACCTTGATACTCCTTTTGAACATGTAGCCAGGGGTGAGGGATCCCTTCCTGAGCAGTTCACTGAAGATGACAATCTGCTCGAAGAGGAACACGCGCCTCTCTTTGGTCCGGGACTGCATGCCTGCATCCAGCTCAATCACATAGAATGTGTCCTGCTGTAGCAGCTTCCCCTGAGCAGTCAGGGTGCCCTGAAGGAAAGAGGGGCTGGGGTGAAGTGAATGAAAAATGGGGAGATGACCACTGCCCTCTGGGTCCACAGAACCTCCCCATCTGGGGATATGGACAACAGATCTGACATCAAAATCCTAAGGGCTCTAGGAAGAGACTGAATTGGGACCCACTCACTCATCCAGGGGCCAACCTTGGCCACTTTCTTGCTCACACAAGGGCCCTGGAGGGAAAGGGAAAGCAAGCTGTGGAACCCCTGAGAAACAGCTCCAGGCAAATGCCAGAAGGCAGGAAGGTAATATTATTAGCAGAAAAGTCATAATCCTGGTCCTTCTTGTTTTTTATTGAAAGGACAATGGAAAGTAGGTGACACTCGGAGCTACAAGTGGCCTTTCCATCCTCAGAGCTCTGAGAACTGTGCCTGCCTGGTTCCTTTGCAGTGTGGGCCAAGGACCAAGGGCATTCTCATGGCCACCAACCTTGGACTCACCTGTAGACAAGGGAAGTGATGAAGGCAGGACCACAAATATTCTGATAAGTCACTCCCCTCTCTTCTTCAATTATTTTAGGATGGGGAAATTCTGCGATCTTAGTTTCTAGTTATAGGCCAACAGGTAAAGTTGGGGTACTATAGATAGATCTCCACATTTTATAAGCTGGTAGATACTTTTCTGGGTTCTGTGATTCTTCTAAAAATGACTCCAGGGTAGGTGCGGTGGCTCACGCCTGTAATCCCAGAACTTTGGGAGGCCAAGGCAGGTGGATTACCTGAGGTCAGGAGTTCAAGACCAGCCTGCCCAACATGGCGAAATCCCATCTCTACTAAAAATATAAAAATTAGCTGGGTGTGGTGGTGTGTGCCTGTAGTCCCAGTTATTGGGAGGCTGAGGCACGAAGATCACTTGAACCTGGGAGGCAGAGCATGTGGTGAGCCGAAATTACACCACTTCACTCCAACCTGGGCAACAGAGCGAGATTCTGTATCAAAATAAATATACATATAAATTAATTTTAAAAAATTAATAAAATAAAAAAATAAAAATAAAAATGATTCTAGCTACTAGGCCACCTGACACCTAACTGAGGAGATAGAACCTATTTGGTTTGTCAGTTTCTAATGAGATTTTCAGAGACATCTTCACAGCTTCAAAGGGAATATGGCCCAACCCAGAAAGTCTCCCCAGACTCTGTCAGAGCACCTTGCATTTCTATTGCTTTGCAACAAGAAGACCCGGACATCAGAGAGAGCAATCTGAGGGCCTCCTCTGAAATGCAGGTACTCCTTCTCAGGCGACAACTCTGTCCTTCGGCGCAAATGTGGCCATTCCCTTCATGTGATGCCTTATTCCAAACACTACCCAGCAGAGGGGTTATTTTTCTTGTGTGTTCCTGAGAAGTGCCCGCCCTCTGCTTGGATCATGGCTCCTTACTGCCAATGTCAGCAGCCAAACAGGCTTATCTCTACCCTGATCCAAAGTTAGTATTAAGCCAGTGACCAGCTAGCCAGGAAAGCTCTATTAATATTACATAAGAACCTATCATGGCTTATAGCTCGGCCAGCATCAAAGGGAAAGCCAAAGGATTTGAAAGTGGGGGGGAATTTAAAAGAGGAGGCTCTAACTTCTCTGAAGCCCAAAGCCATGGGCTGAGGGAATAGACACACGCTCACTGTCCTTCCCAGTTAGCTGAAGGAATGCCAAAAGCAGGTTCTGGTGGCTTGACAAAAACAGGAGAGAGCAATGCTTCACTTAAAAGCTTGATTCCGTGCTTGTGTGTGCCCTTACATGGACACACACACACGCACATGCACATGTACAACATAGCTCCTGTGAAGTTTAACTTGGGGCAGACAGCACAATCAGATGCCACTCCTGCCGGTGGTCACTTCCTCCAGAGACCCAGAGAAGCACAGTTAGTCTCCTGTTCAGAAAACATGGGGTCTTCAAGGTTGAAGAGCAAAAGGGATCTCTTGGTTTGTTCAGTATAGCCTCAGACCTGATGTAATGCCAAGGGAAAAAGTATAAAACTCCACCCAGAATGACTGAAGAAAAATGGTTAAGAACTCAGTGTGTGTCTGCCGAGTAACCCTGCTTACACTAATGCCTCCGGCCTGCTTTGGAAGATCAAGAGCTTATGAAAAATGCACAGCAAAGAAAACCGTCCACATAGTTCCTGTCACAGCAAAGCATGAAAACCAGACAGGGACACATGGGATGGGCTGGAAGGGCAAGGAGGGGAAGAGAATTTGGCTCAACAATGTCATGAATCCAATGCATGTACCCAAACTTAAATACATTATCCCCTAAATTACTCATACAGTGGTATGAGTATGAGTCAACTATATATCTGTCTTGTATCTATTCCATTCCAGTGTAGCCAGAAAAAAAACAAGCCATTTATTTCTTAGTTATCTCAAATTCTAGGAATCCCTTTGCCCCAAAAAAGGAGTAATGAAAGCTTAGGTTTCGAACCGCTGGGAAATAGAAGATACACATCTTTCTCTAAAGGGATCAACAACTACTAGGTACCAATCAATAATTGTGTCAGTTCCAATTTTATCATATTAATCTTAAAAACATATTATGTGTGGCTGATTTATTAGGTTTGGATATACATTAATAACAGTCAGTTATTCAGTTTAAATTAGAAAGTCAATTTGCTCTTCAAAGGTTCACTGTTATGGGCTGAATTGTGTTTTCTCTCCTTCCATGCCCCTCATCAATTCCTATGTTGAAGTCCTGGCCCCTGAAGTGCCAGAATGTCAGCATGTCACCTTATTGGGAAATGGGGTCTTTACAGAGGCAATCAAGTTAAAGTGAAGTAGTCATGCAAGTGAGCCCTAATAGAATATGATTGATGTGCTTATTAAAAAAAAAAAAAAAAAAAAAAAAAGGAAACAGTTGGGAGTGGTGGCTCATGCCTGTAATCCCAGCACTTTGGAAGGCCGAGGCAGGGATCACCTGAGGTCAGTTCAAGACCAGCCTGACCAACATAGAGAAACCCTGTCTCTACTAAAAATACAAAAAATTATCCAGGCATGGTGGCGCATGCCTGTAATCCCAGCTACTTGGGAGGCTGAGGCAGGAGAATCGCTTGAACCCGGAAGGCAGAGGTTGTGTCACCATTGCACTCTAGCCTGGGCAACGAGAGCAAAACTCCATCTCAAAAAAAAAAAAAAAAAAAAAAAAGAACTCTGGGGCTTTCCAATCTCCTTGGAATTCTGACTTTGGTTTGGCCAAATGCTCTGTAACTTCTTATGACCTCCCTACTGCTGGACTTCCTAAAGAGATGCATCTTCCAGGACTGTGAACCAGAGGGGCCCAGGCATGAAGGCATAGTGATGAGTGAATGAAGGAGGCAGAGGCAGGACACAGGGCTTCGGAGGGAGGAAGCCACAACAGCTTAGACTTCTACTGTCCTGGAGAGAGTGGGCTTAGACACATTCTTAAAGACTCACCTCGAAGCCCTGCAGACGTCCTAGATTCATCATGTCATTGCAACGTTTGGGAACAAGGCACATTAACTCCACTGCTTTCTGTGGGAAAGAACAATCGTCACTCAGGAGGGGGAACAGCACTCAGGCAGGAAGCTCTTGGTAATTCAGTGCTGGAAAACAGGGACTTCATCTCTGGTGGCTCCTTTATTCTAGGAAGGGACGCTGGTGCCTGCTGTCCACTCAGAGAGTATGGGGCTTTCTGTTCCAGAGAGTGGGTGTTGGTCCTCAGCACAGGGGCTCCACGTCAGTCACTGAGCATATGTTGGGGGAATATTACTCAGCTCCTCCTTTCCCTACCTTCCTGTTTTTGTTCATCAATTCCCTTGCCTTCTCAGATTTTCTTTCTTCTCTCTGTTGCTTCCTGGCTGCCCAGGCAACAGCTTAGCCTGGCTTGTGAGCCACTAGAGGTTTTAAACTAAAATAATCTGTCAGAATGGTCTGTAACCTCTCTGGCTTAAAATAATCCCATGGTGACATTGTCTCAAAGGACTTCACTTGGAAGTAGTCTACAGGGTTTGGATAGGGAGGTGAAAATGGAATACAGAGTGAGACCCTGCCTCAAATATAAATAAATATATATAATATTTGATAATATATATTGATTATATATAAATATATATGTTTGACTCAAATAATACTTGCCTTCACGAATAAAATTGCATACTGAGGCTTTTGTGCAACTTACATCTAATCTCTGAAGGATATTAAGGGGCTACCCTTTCCTACTATGTGTCACCAGGAACCTAAAGAACACCAGTGGGGCTCAGCTGTAGTCCACCCCAGGACAGACGTTATCGAGTTCTAGGAAACACTGTGTTAACACTTGCCATTCCTCAAGCAGGTACAAAGCTGTTTACAAGAGCCTCTTACTGTCCGAGAGGGATGCACCTGGATCCATGGTCTTCCTGAGACAATCTTTTCCCCTCTAGAGAGAGATAACCAATATGGCCCCTAAGAACAGCAAGCATTACAAGCAGAAAACTCACCTCGATATCTGAGCACTCCAAACCAGCCTTCTCACTGTATCTCAGGAAGTCCTAACAAGTAGGGGAAGCAGGGGAGTGTGGGAAGGGGTAAAATTAGTAAAACAGCGGGGAAACAACTTATCATAAAAATACAGTAACACCCTGGAGACTTTCCTTCCCAGCAGAGGTGCAATGGTTTAGAGTAGCTGAGAAATGAAATTACGAGTCATGTAAGATGTAATAACAGACAGAAAACTCCCAGAATATTCAAAATTTCTTTTTCTTTTTTCTTTTCTTACTTTTTTTTTTTTTTTTTTTTGAGACAGAGTCTCACTCTGTTGCCCAGGCTGGAGTGCAGTGGTGCGATTTCGGCTCACTGTAACCTCCGCCTCCCAGGTTCAAGCAATTCTCCTGCCTCAGCTTCTTGAGTAGCCGGGATTACAGGTGAGTGCCACCACACCCAGCTAATTTTTGTATTTTTGGTAGAGACGGGTTTTTGCCATGTTGACCAGGTTGGTCTCGAACTCTGACCTCAGGTGATCCACCTGCCTCGGTCTCCCTAAGTGCTGGCATTACAGATGTGAGCAACTGCACTCAGCCTCAAAATTTCAAAGCTATGGGAGAAGGAAGAGTGAGAGGGAGGGAAGACGGAAGGAAAGGGGGATTATGACAAGAAAGGAGAGAAAGGAAAGTTAAGTCTCTTTCCTATTTAGCCTCTGAGTTCCACAAGATGAATCAAGTTAAGCCATTGTTTAAAATATAATTAGGCGGGGCACAGTGGCTCATGCCTATAATCTCAACACTTTGGGAGGCCGAGGTGGGAGGATTGCTTGAGGCCAGGAGTTTGAGACCAGCCTGGGCAACACAGTGAGACCCTGTCTCTACGAAAAAATAAAAAATTAGCCAGACATGATGGCATGCACCTGTTGTCCTAGCTACGTGCGAGGCTGAGAAGGGAGGATTGCTTGAGCTCAGGCATTTGAGGCTGCAGTGAGCTATGACAGTGCCACTGCACTGCAGCCTGGATGACAGAGTGAGACCCTGCCTCAAATATAAATAAACATATATATAATATTTGATAATATATATTGATCATATAAAAAATATATTGATTTTATATATAAAAAATATATATATAAAATCAAATTTTAGGTGTTACTAATCTAAGGTTTCTAAAGCCTTGCCTTTCCCTTTCTTTCTCCCTTGCAGTTCACTCTGATTTTACATTTTTATTATTTTTTAAAGGTATCAAGTCAATGATTGAGACAAAGTAAGAATGTGAATTGAAAAAGGAAAATGAAGTAACAACCTGCCACCTTAAGGGCAGGAAGAACAGTCATGCAGTTTATCTGGGGGCAAAGCTGATGGAGTAACCAGCAGTCGGATAAAAGTTCCCACGTCCCTACCACCCCTCCCACAGTTCACAGTCCTTTGGGACAGTGTGGTGGAGGCAGAATGCCTAGCACTACGCTAACCTGCTCTGAGCCTGAGGGACCCTTCTCCAGCCCTGACCCAGGTTCCCAGCTTCTTACCTTGAGGAGCAACTGGTATTTTGTTATTCTCTGAATGGGCTTGATGAGGAAGTCACTCAGTGTCAGCCTCTGATTTATCTCCTGTTTTACCTCCTGAAACACAGGCAGCAATATTAGAAGAAAAAGGAACTGAAGAACTGGGGTGCTCTGAATCAGGGTTCAAAGGCATGGAAGACAGGTCTGCATGTTTTCCAATGAAGCTGAAGAATCTTTAAGCAATGTGAGAGGTAAAATTGCCTAGAGGACTGTTCGCTTGTTATGAACAACACATAACACACATCACCACTGGCTTCCTGCCTTCCTCCCATGCTTTTACAGTGAGTACTTCCACACCTTGGTCTTCACCCCAGTCCTGGGAGACAAGCTGGAGGGGCCTTATTCTCTCCACTGCTTTAGGGCAAAGGCAGGGAAAAGGGGCTTCTCCTTGACACACAAGCCTATGGAGCAGGGCCCTAAACTTAGATCTCCCAACACTCAGCTGAGCGCTCTTTCTAAGTGATGGTGCTGCCTTTCTGCCCGCAAAATCAATCCTTCCAGGCTAGAGACTAGGAAGTGGCTACAACCCCTTCAACCAACAGAAGGCTCCTCAGTAAGTGGTCTCTGGGGGACTGGTGGGTACAATCTGCTCCAGGGTCACTTAAGAAGAACTGGAGCTTCTCAAACCGTCTCTGTGTTCAGGCTGATTCTGCAAATAGGGGCTTCTCAAATGACAACCCAGACTGGGCCACCTCAGCTCCTCTCAAGCGAAGGTGCTTATGAGAATTTAGCTAAGAAGCTGCTTTCTCTGTTGAGGCAGCTATTCCTGCCATGAAGGGGTCATCGATGCTGTGTGGGGGTCACCTATGGATGGATGATGTCTGGTATTTCTGAAAGTGGCGGTCTTGGCCCGAGTTTTCCTCCCATCCTAGTTCAGCAAAGCCTGCACAGCTTACCTCAAAGTAGGTGTCATACTCAGCAACGATGTACTCTGAGCGCGGTTTATTCTGACAATACCACACGTAGATGTGCAGTTTCCGTTCCTGAAAGAACAGAGAGAGACATGCGGACAGTCAGGCACCTTGTGCCTTTTGTTCAATCGCAGAGTGCCGTGCTGGCCTCCATGTGAACGAAGGACAAAGGCGCACCTGCGGAGGCACCAAGGCAGCTGAATATCAGGGATATAAATATGGTGGGCAAGAGCCACTTTCCAAATCACCATGGTGGTCAAAAAAACAAACAAAAAAACTCAGAGAGGGCTGAGAAGGAAAGTCAGTCCAGGAAGAGCAGAAGAGAAGAAATTTTATTTATTTTTCTTCTGAGACAGGGTCTCGCCCTGTCACCCAGGCTGGAGTGCAGGGTGGGGCCATCATGGCTCACTGCAGTCTTGACCTCCCGGGCTCAAGCGATCCTCCTGCCTCAGCCCCCAAGTGGCTAGGACTATAGGCATGTGCCACCAATCCTGGTTAATTTTTAAATTCTTTGTAGAGATGGGGGCCTTGCTATGTTGCCCAGGCTGGTCTCAATTCCTGGGATCAAGCAATCCTCCCACCTTGGCCTCTTGAAGTGTTAGAATTACAGGTGTGAGCCACTGTGCCTGGCCAGGATTTTAAAATGAATATAAATGAGCCTAGTGAAGGAGTTGGGGAGGAAGTGATGGGAGACACTCACATGCTTAATAAAGAGCTGTGCCAATCTGTCTTGCTCCTGGACACACTTTTCCAGTTCCGCCAGGAAAAAACTAAAAGGAGAAAGGGGATAAGAGAAGGAAGCCACATTATTCAGAACTGTATTATTTCTCAATATTAAGATGAGTGACAGAAGACTCTCCCCTAAGCCCCACCCCTTGAGTCAGATGCAGGAAGAGGACGCAAGTCCTGGGTTCCCAGGACACTGGATCCTCGGGGCAGCATTAACACTTACTCCTTATGCCAGTCATAAATCTGATGAATATTTCCAAACACGATTTTGTCCTTTCCTCGCATATCCTCAGGGACACCCTTTTCTTCTATTCTCTTCATGAAGCCCTGCAGCAGCAAAGGCAGTGGTTAGTAGCATATTTTCAGAGGAAAGCTTTCTGGGCCGTGCCACACACCACAGCACCCCTGCGAGCCCACACTCTCTGCGTGAGTTTGAGGACAAATGCTTCTATGGTTTCTCACTATTCAACCAGGTCTTTTACCCCCGGTGCAGAGCAAAGGACAAAACTTTTATGAGTTTCAGGATCCCCTTCTTTGTCTCCAGTCCCCTTAAGAAAGCAGAGCACAGAAGAAAACAATAAGCTGTCCCTCTTCCTTCTCCCAATCCAAGTTAATCAGGTCTGTAAAGGCTCAGAATTAGATACATCTGGCCTAGAAGTAAGTCTTAATATGCTAATACTTTATAGTCTATAAAATGTGATCATATAGAATTTCATTTTTGGTTTAACATCAGGTTTGGAGGTTGGACAGGTAGCATTATCTCCATCTGACAGACAAGAAAACCCAGGCACCTGGGTGTTGGAAGACTTGTCCCATAATTGCATCGCTGATGTCTGAGTTCCCTGCGGTTCAGCCTCCCAGTCTCCAGATTCCCTCGTCCTCTACTCCTGGGCTGGACTGCGTATGGAAGCTGCTGTACCTCTTCCACCCTCCCAGCCCCACAAAAAGACAAGAATAACTTCCCATAAGTCAAAGTTCAGGTCTTCTATATGCCTGGTTAATCTGTTTATCCAAGGTTCAGGAAAGCAAATACAAAACCCTAAGTCAGCAGATTTCACAGGATGGGGACTCAGGCCAAATGTAAGGAAGCAGCAGGCAATGTAGGCATACAATTTTTAGACTTCATGTTCTTTCAAGATGATTAACAACAGGGCTCTAAGTCACTCAAATTAGCCATTTATTTTCTCAGGTTTTTTTTTTTTTTTCATCCAAGTGTCTAAGTTCCTTGTAAGTGAATCCCTACAGAGCTAGAGTTGTTTAATTTACTACCAAGTTGGCTCTTAACTGTGGACCTGTCAACCTTGCTCATTGGTGGGTTTTCCTTTTATCTGTGTTTTTGCTAGCTATAACACTTAGCCTTAAAATCTACGGAAATGTATAAGCCCTAAGATTCCACTAAGAATGACCTGTTTTATGCCTATGTGGCTCATAGCTCTGAAGAATATATGTCCACATAGTTAAACATCAAAGAAAAGCTCTTAAGACAATAGCTTGGTCACCTAAAACAAAGTGGAATGAGTTCCACTCTAACCAAGAGGCTCCCCGAAATGCTATAACATTCGGGCCTCTACCTCCCTCTAAATAGCTTATTTCAAGGGGAAAAGAAAAATATTGCCTACATATTCACTTATTACCATTTTTATTTTCATTTCTGCAAGTGCTCAGACAGTAAAGTACATGTAACCATCAGATTAAAACACCTCGGCCTAGGTAGGGTCCAATGTGCTCCTGGCTGGGTGACCACAGACCCACCTGGAACCCTCTACTTACCTCCACCACAATGCCCAGATCCTTGACATAGTCTTTCTCTGTCTGTACCAGCTCATTCAGGACAAACCTGAGCAGGAGATTAAGAACAATGAGTGTTCCTCTTCATTGTTAAGCCAAAAATCTTCACTTAAGTTCACAGAAAAGTTACTTTGGCACCTTTATGACAAGACCCCCTAAAACACCCACATTTATCTCCTGGGAAAGATGCTTACGGATGCTTTCCCTACAGGAGGCCCTATTGAAGGGCTGAGGACACCAAGGCCAGAAAGGATGTCCCCAGGTGACATACAATAGTCACACAAAAAATGACGCTCAGCACCTAGCATTCTTCTTTCTGTTCTTCACGTGTTTCTCCCTCACCTACAACTGAACAATTATATAGACAGAGGGCAGAAAGAATGACAACCATTTTGGCAAAACTGAGTTTTGAAAGCTTTGAGGCCAGGGTCGGCGGGGGATCAAGATGAGACTTTTCTTCCTTCATTTCAGCTCCATTCTTCACTTAACAAGAGGAGAAAGACAATTTGATTACCAACTTGTAAGTCCTCCAAGACAAGGATAGATACCAAATGAAGCTTTTAAGATATGGAAGTTGCAATTATTCAGATAGGTACCCGTGGTAACTGGCCTGGAAGATCTCCAGTCAAGGCCAGAAAGATGGACTGCAGACACACCAAAATCATACCTTTAATGCATCCCTACCTTCTCCAGGATGCAGGATTTAACAATTACAAGGACATTTGCTCTCTTGGTTTCTTTCTTGTTAATTCTTTCTACCACACTATGTGCCACTCCCTTCATCTGGGTTTTCCCATGCTTATAATAAGGTAGGTATTGTAAAGCCTATTTTATATAAATGAAAATGCGGAGACAGACAGATTAGGTAGCCTGACCATGATTATAAAGTGAGTAGCAGAGCCAGGATTTGAACCCAGTTGTGTAAGAGTCCAAAAACCATGCTCTTTCCCAGCAGCCCACTGCCTGGTAAACTACTCTGACTGGCTCTTGGGAGTCCCTGAAGCCTCAAACCCAAACACTCTTTCTGTCTTTTGTCCAGACGCTAAAGAGCTTTACATAAAATGCTAATAGTTGAGCACAGGGGCAGGGTGGTGCTGTGCAACCTACTGGAGTCAAACTCTTCCAATCTGATTGGAACGAGTTTTGCCTGGGACCACACAATTGCATTTTGGGCCCAAGTAGCAGAAGGGATAAAGTTCCGAGATGTCAAAGTGGGACCCCAGCACAAGGGTGGTAACCATTTTGAACCCAGGAAGCAATTCATCTGAAATTCTTGCTCTGTATAGCCCCAGAAGCCACCACATTCCTGGGGCTGGGGCCTCTGGGCAATGGGGAGGAAGCAGAGGAACACACGCTTCTTTATCAGTGCACCCAGCACTTCCAACGGCTCCCTCTCCAGCACAGACAATCATGTGTTTTAGGCCACAGGAAGGAACTGGCAAGGCCAAATAAAAGCATTTAAATATATCTTTACCATGGCCCAAGTTACTGCCTAGTAGAAAGTGGCAAAAGAAAACCCACAGGAAAGTTAGAGTGGGAATGTGGGGCTGGGAGGGCCCTCTGGAGATGAAGTCCAGCTCTCTGTCTCCAAGCGATATTTTTATCCTAAGCTATTTGCTGACAGATGAGGACTATCTTTGGCTTCTCAGCCTCTAGAGAAGGGAACTGTATTAGGTGCTGCTAGTGGACCTGTCATCTTTTCCCTTGAAGGGTTAATGAAGTACCTGGGGAGACCACGACGTATTAAAAGACATTCTGAAAAGTGATATCAGGGATTTAAATTGTAGGCATCGCAAGGCAGTGCACAATTAATTGCCAAATGAACTGACAACAAGGCATGTTTTTCATGGTAAGTTCTTATTAGTAGAAGTTATTTACAAACAAATGTTATTCTTTGGTCCAACTAAAATTATTTCAGCTACACGTTAGAACCACTTCTAACCTCCTTTCACAGGGACAGGGAATGGCTGGTCTTCCATAGAAAAGCTCTTAGATTCATTGCACCGGCTGTTCTCTCTCTCGAGAACACTTTTTCTCTATGGCTAATTCCTTACCTTCCCCAGTCTTTGTGCAAATGCCAGGGCCATTTAAAATGGCAACATGGCCTCATTTTTTCTCTGGATCTCCCTTACACTGCTCTATTTTTTTTTCTTTTTCATGTTTCCAACATACTACATAATTTATTTTGTTTATTGTCTGATTTCTCCCACTAGAATTTAAACTTGCCATGAGAGCAAAGACTTTTGTTGTTATTATTTGTCTTATTCAGTGATGTATCCCACTGATGGTACATAACTGGTGTTAGACCAGTATTTGTTGAATGAATGACTAAAACTTGAAGACAAGTAACTCCATTCTCAACTTTTTTCTTCTCCTGGACAAATGACTATTTGTGTTCATCTTTTCTCCGTGGAGCTCTCATTTAACCCTTTGATGCCCTGCTGCCATCTTCTGGATTGAGTCTTGGTTCTCTACACTCCTCAGCCTCTGGCCTCACATATGGTTAACAGTGAAACACCTCTACACCACCCTTTCATCATGACCATAAAGTACAGCAGGATAGAACAAGGATGAGATATAGTAAGAGGAATGAGATACTCTAACAGTTGTATTTCCAGGATAGTTCAGGATGTGAAGAGGTGTGGATTTTGGCAAGAATGAGAAGAGGGAGAAGAGATGAATGAAGTGGGCAAAAGAGACAGCAAACTTTTGTGGCCTATTGTATCTGGACAATGGCTTAAATGACTGCTCAAAGGCCAGTTCAAACTACATGCTAAGAGTAGTGACTGGCTTTGCCCAGGGTCACCTGCCACCTCAGAGGTCACCTTCCTGACTTAAGCTTTGTTTTGGCTTGACAAAGGACTAAGACATCAGCTCCAACACGGCCTCACCTGTGTAACAACCTGAGAAACTAAGGAGACTCAGTTTTGTGCAAGTCCTAGGAAATTTCCCTTTGGGGATGGCATTTCTCAACCTCTATCCCATTTACCAACTTCTTCGGGTTCCCCTTGAGTACTCACAAAGCTGAGTGGGTAAATATGGAATTACAGGATTTACATGCCACTTGTTCATCTCTACTAAGAAGTGATATGATAGCCCTGCTTTCACATCAGGCCTTCACTGTGATGTTCTCACTTTTGTTTCCTAGGAAACAAAAACTCATAAATAGACACTTTGTACATTTCCAGGTAACAGAAGGACCTGGTCTGACTTATTTTTGCTAGTTTTCCTGTCTGTGGCCAGGCTAAAGGAGTGATGAATTTGAGAGTGAGAAGCAGGCTAATTAACAACAGGGAGGGACCTTTCACACCTGCCTCCCCAATTCTTGCTACTGCTTATAATCTCTCACATGCTGAGCTATGTCTAAGACTCATCAGTAGCTCTGCTTCCAACATAGAGCCAAACCCTAAACAAGAAAACAAAAGTTGGCCCAGTGCGGTGGATCCTGCTTGCAATCTCAGCACTTTGGGAGGCTGAGGCAGGAGGATTACTTGAACCTAGGAGTTCCAGACCAGCCAGGGCAACAAAGCGAGGCTCCATCTCTACAGAAAATAAAATAATTAGCCAGGTATGGTGGTGCACACCTGTAGTCCCAGTTACTTGGGAGGCTGCGGCGAGAGGATCCCTTGAGCCCAGGAGGTCAAGGCTGCAGTGAGCTATGATCATGCCACTGCACTTTAGTCTGTGTGACCAAGCAACACCTTGTCTCAAAAAAAAAAAAGAAAGTTTTTGAGGAGTTCTGCTTTTGTACTAGTGGTATCTGGTATATTCTTGATCAGCTCAAATAATAGATTGACTTCATATCAACATAGATAACTCTTGCATAACATGGGATTGTCCTGCACTATGAATTAAATTTTACCACTAACTATTCAAAGTGGAGAAGAAGTTCTCTTGGAACTAATCCCAGAAACAGATGCAAAATTAAAACCTTTGGAGAAGGAGCAGAGACAGGACCTGCTTGGTGGTACAACAGCTCCTTCCTCTACATATAACTTTCCCATATTTGGGGAAATGTTTTCTTAGGTGACCACTATCAGACTTTCTGCCACGGTCAGAGATTCTCTGATTCTACAGGCCCTCAGTAACAGTCTCATAGTTTCCTCAACTTTACCATTTTCCTTTTATCACCTTGTTTTAAATTTCTAACAGACCTATAACCACAGTTTGTCAGTAGTAGCTACTATCTCACAGAATATACTTTAGCCTAAACTTCAATCAAGTCAGTGCCGAAGTGGCTCAATGTTTATCAGTGCTATGCTGCACAGATCTGACTCTTAGAATGAATGATGTCAGTGGAAACAGCGTGGGGAACCCCTCTCGAATTCTCCCCAACCTTTGCCCATTGTTCACCACGCTCATGTGTGCACCACCGGGAGAAAGCTGGGGAAGCCACTTACATCCTGCCTCTCAGGGCCTTGGCTTTCTGTTCTTCTTCTGGGTTTCTAGGAGGTGTGGGTGGGGCCATCCCCTCATTCGGGCAGCCCGCAGGGTCTTTCAAGCTCCCCCGGTATGAGCCTCCTTCTAGACTCTGAAAAGAAAGAATAAACAGCCTTAGAAAAGTGTACTTTGAAAAGTCATTTGGAATCCCTGTGTCCTCCCAGCCTAGCCATAGACAACATGGAAAATCAGTAGCCAAGGCTGTTCTCATCAAACCACAGTGAAGTATTAGGAGACCAGAGACTTTATCCTCCTGCAGCAGGGAGCCCAGAGCTGCCACCTTCTCAGGCAACCAGGATGTACTTGGCATCTATGTGCTGCCAATTTCTCAGACATAATGAAATTGTCAAAGTGACTATCTCTAGGTAAGAGCTCCAGAGGTAATGATAATGATTGCAATTCTATACCAAATATGCAGTTACACAAAACAAGTGAAAAGGGCGAATGTGGTAATATAGAGGGAACTAAGGGTAAAAGAACCTAAATTTGAATCCCAGATCTGCTAGTCACTGAATGATTTATGTGAGATAGCTAAAATTGTTCCATGCTTCAGTTTTTCTCAGTTTTCAAATTAAATCTTCCCTCTCTGCAGATTTCTAAGGAATAGGCAGAGATAATAGCTGTAATAGCCTTTGAAAAGTTAAAAATGTCCTATGATGATGAGGTTTTCCCCTGTCCCCATGGATGGAACTATTAACAATAAAAATACTCAAAATGGAGTCAATCTTAACACTTTTACAAGTGTCCTGGAAGAAGGATTACACAGTGACATTTAGCATTTCATTATGCAAATTGGCAGGAGTAGTGTGGATACACAGTAAGGCTGGAGAGTAAGGTCAAGTTGGGCAACTGTAAAACAAATAATGAGAGACTAATCTAAGGCTATTCTTTACTATTATTATTATTATTATTTTACAGACAGGGTCTCACTATGTTGCCCAGGCTGGTCTTGAACTCCTGGGCTCAAGTGATCCTCCTGCTTCAGTCTCCCAAAGTATTGGGATTACAAGCATGAGCCAATGCACACAGCCAGAATATCTATCTATCTATCTATCTATCTATCTATCTATCTATCTATCTATCTATCTATCT